ACTTCATAGGTTTGGGCTTCTGAGAAGGGTACACTGGCAGCTGAGACTTAACATCCTGGGGCCAAACAGGGCCAGCCCTGGTGGAGAGACCCACCTTTTCTGCTCTCTGGTCTCAAGGTTCTTACTGTGCTTCAGGATCTCTCAGCAGGCTCCCCATCTTCCCCACTGATACAGAGCCATACTGCCTGGAGAACCCTACCCTCTGGCCAGTCTGACTACATCCCAGGAGCACTTATGTTCCTGCTACTTTTTTTTTTTTTAACCTGAACACTTTGTGCAGTCCTAGGGGTGGGATAAAGAGGCAGGACCCAGGAATCCCAATCCTGAGGACACTGAACTCAGTAGCTCACAAAATCATGAATGCTATGGAGTCTTGGGGTCATCCCACAAGGACTCAGAGTCCTAGGAGGTGATAGGCTTACCCCATGGCAAGGCCATGCCCATGCACTGACACTGGTTCTGGCTACCAGCTAGACTCCATCTGCGTTCCCTTGAAGGAATCAGGTCATGAGTATGGTATGAATAGGAGGCTCTGGGTCAGCCCAGGTTTCACCTGCAGAGAGATGGGTATGAGCTTGCTGGCCACAGGTATAGTTGTCACAAATCTTAAGAGGGAATGTGACTATGTTCAGGCCTTGCTGGGTCAGTCCAGCATTCCCTCAGTCTTAGGAGTTTCCCCCTTACTGGCCCCCCTACTGAGCCCTGGGCTTAATCCAGCTTAGTGAATGTCCAGCCCACAGGGTACTGCCCAGCTCAGCATTCCAGGGCAACAGGGCCAGCTGGGCACCTGTTTGTCTCCACAGCACAGCCAGGATGGGGCCTGGAGAAGGCCAGCAACAGCAGAGACGACCCTGGGAGCTAGGGATGGACACCAGGTGAGTGCATTATGGTTGAGAGGCAGGCATGCTTCTGAAGTCCACAGGATAAGCAGGGCATAGGAACCCTTTGATCTTAGGGTAGAGCTCTTCAATCAGCTGTGACGGCCTACAATCTGCATATGTCCTGCCTGGCCATATGTGGCCCATAAGGCTCCAGTTGTCCAGATTTGACTTCCTGTCTCACTACTGTGCTAAGCCAGTTGGCCCAGTGGTAACAGTGCAGTAGCTGAATGGGATGGATGGCCAGCTTTTCCAGTGAGCAGTCTGCTACACTGGGGGGCAGCCTCTTTCCTTAGGCCAGGGCTAGAACATGGGTATTCCCAGACATCCTTGTTAGTGAGCAACTCCCAGTAACCCAGGAAGACCCCAGGTTCCAGCAATGCCTACCATCAGGAACTTCCTGAGAGCAGTGAAGACCCAGCTTTGTAAAACAAATTAACAATGTTGATTCTAAGCCCTGGGAGACAGGCAGGTGGGATGCACAGGGGTTTAGACCCTGGCTCTGCACACATCTCCTTGGACAAGACCCTTGGCCTCCTTGCTCTCCTGCACCACCTCTTGCACTCATGTATCATCCTTGGTCATACTTGCTAAAGAAATGACTATCTTAATACCACGAGAAGGCCCCAAACAGCACTGACCACAGCAAGCACAGGGTGAGGGAAGTGAGGCCATAGCAGAATAACCAGCTGTGTGTGGAATGGAGAGGGGACAGCAAGAAGCCATCACAGGTGGTGTACCATACGTGGTGTGCCACATGTGAGGGACTGGAAGAAGTGCAAGTCCAGGAGATGGGCTGGGGCCAGGTTTATGAGATTGTCAGCCATCTATGTTTGTCCAAGACACTCCATTTATTCCTGGAGGATAAAAAAAAATCATTTTCAAAGTAGAGCCTATGAATAGTGAAGGTAGGAGGTACGGAACTAATTCACCTTTGCTCTATGACTGTCTTCTTGATTTGCTCATGGGAAGCCCAGATGCCCTCTGCTATGAGCTTGTGGGAATTATTACTGTTGTTATGTGGCTCTTTCAGAAGTCTTGATTTAAAGGATATGTATTATATGAGAGAAGAATTTGCATCTATGTTGATACACACTGATAGATGATTCCAGGGGATGTAGAGGGTTGGCAGGAAGCCATGAAGCAGATGAAATGGGGAGGGTGGGAACAGGGTTAGAGCTGTGGGTAGCTGCTAGGCCACCAGGCAAGGAGGGTACAAACACAGCAATAGAGTCAGGTCTGGATCCAGGTCTCTTAGGATCCATCCAACCTCACTTCAAAAAAAAACTTGGAAGACTAGGAAGCACTGGTATCTCCCAGCCATAACAGGGCTCCATGCAAGCATGGCCCTGGGCTCTCCACTTACTCTGAGCCAAAAGACCTTGTGGAATGCAGTGGCCTAGATGTATAGAGGGAGCAAGAAGCAGATGCTCCATGATTGCACCCTGCTCACCCCTTGTGGATCCGAACAAACCCTTCTCCCTCGGCCTCAATCTCAAACATGGTATAAGAGAGCTTGAGCACGATTACAAGCACAGCTCCAAGAACCTTGAAGCAACTCACTGGATACCAGCTAGGGAGATACAGATGCTTCTCGATGATACCAGAAATCTGATGAGTTTCTCACATGCACTCCATCCTGCTTCGGGGCCAGCTTGGCAGACCATCCCAGTCACAGCCAACCAATGGCCCAGGAACAGCAGCCCAGCAGTATCAGGGACCTCTCCCGTGATCAGCAAATAGGTGGCAGGAACTGTGATTACCTTGATGAAGCAAGGGCTGTGGGAAGATGTGAGCAGTATTCATGGGTCTGGCCACAGAGTAAATTGTCATTATGTCTGTTGGGAGGGCCTCTACCCTGAGACCTACAGCAATGAGGAAGGGACAAAGCTCTGGGAGACACAGGGAGGCCACTACAGCACTTAGATCTGTGAGGACCTTGTTGCCAGCTCATAGGCAGCAATAGAGTCAGGTCTGGATCCAGGTCTCTTAGGATCCATCCAACCTCACTTCAAGGTCTCCAAATTACATGGTAGCCAGTGGCTGAGGCCCCATGCCTGCTGGGGAACCTTACAGACCCTTACTTTCTGAAGTTGAAATAGTCCTAAAGATTCAGCCGCTGTCTTCAGGACTCTGTTAAGTGCAAAGAAATATGGTTTCTTCTAAAGCCTGAGCTCCACCTCCCACCCCAATTCTGTGCCAGGACACCTGTCAGTACAAATCCCTGCTTAGGTGTGCTCAGGTGGGGACCAGCATCCAGGCCTTCCTTACAGGAGAGGCATGGGAGGATTCTCAACCTGAGGCTGGAGTAAATGCACCTCCTCCCAAGAGCCTGCCAGGAGTAGACTCTCACCTTCCCCATCCATTAAATGAGAATGATCCCATTCCTCTTACCTTGAGGATTTTGCTGAGTGAGCTGAGACAGGATAGTCAGAGTATATGGTATGTCAGACATTACTATACTATTCCATCTCATACCAGGGATAAGGGCTCAGAGGGGCCAAGTAACTTTGCCAGATCCAGGTCTTCTGACTTTGTATGTCTTTTCCCACTATATCTTGCTGGTTTTCATGGGAAGATCATATCCCATTTACACACCTATCTTACCTCTCCAGAGTGGGGGTGTGGCACCTTGCCCTACACTCCCTGCATGGGTGATGGGGAATGGTGGAGGAAGATACCTGGAGGAGGGGTGTTAAAAGTGTGACATGCTGGAACAGGCTGAGCAGCCACCCTTCTCAAACCAAGATGGGAAGAGGTTGTCATCAAGCCTGGGTGTCCACCAGGGCTCAGGCTGTCCCCAGGGAGGTAAGCAAACCACAAGGAGCCTGCCCACTTTGGAAGGGGTGGCCCAAAGTTGCTCTTCAAGTCTCAAGACACCTCCTACCCACTCCCGCTCCATTCCCTATGGGGGCTAGCACACATGCTGGAATGCCTGTTGAGCTTTGGAAGTAGTAATGAAAGCCAGTAACTATGAAGAGGAACAAATTTTGTGGATGTGCTTTTGCAAGGACAGTGGTGACTGGGTGGGCTGACTGCAGCAGGCTAGGCGGTTCCTGCAGGTGAGACACAAGTGAATGACAAGAACTGGCCTTCAAAGCTGTGAGCACCAGATAGAGCTAGCAGCCCACAAGGACACATCCAGCCAGCACTCCCTTTTCCAGTGCCTTGCATCACCTCCCCAGTTCTTCCTGACAGTCCTTTAGGATATTGCTGCATTGTCCTTATGTCACAGTAAGGGTCCATGTGCCCATCTTCCTCCAGGAAAGTACATCATAGACCTGAGGCATTGGACATGTGACATGCTGGAACCCAATAGTGCTCCAGGTGAGCAGGTAAAGCAAGGGTTGGGAAGACAGCAGCAGCTGAGAATGCTCGTGCAGACTTGGGCTCATGAAATAGGGCCCTTCCTACTGAGCTCAAGAAAATGTCTGAAGTAGAAAATCTAGAGGTACCCAGCTTGGACCTCACTGCCCTCCAAGATGGTCAAGGCCTGAGCCTTCCTCCTATTGTAATGATGAGGATGATCAACCTTTGCTTCATAGGAGTGTGATGGAACTATCTATGGACATGAAAAGAATCTGGACATTGTGCTGGGCCTGACTTGGAGGACCTTAATGAAGACTGCAGAACTATATTTGGTGGAAAGTTCCAGTTCTGCCAGATGAGACTCATCACCTCTCTAAACCAAGCAGTCTAGCAGAATGTGGCTTGCTTTCAGTCAGGAATTATCTGATCTCCCCAGTGGGAACAGACACTGGTGACATGTCAGGCCTGGCATACAATGAATACATGGCAACTGAGAACTAAAATCCAGCTATGATGAGCAAAACTCAGTATCTTCCAGCATCAGGGGCTTCCAGCATCAGGGGCTGTTGTCAGGGAGCATATCCACTGGTGACACCTCAGGATGGGTGTGTTCCAAATGGTATCCTGCCCAGGGAAAGGGACCATGATAGGTTTTAGTTCCTGAGCTGATTCTGAGGTCAGGATTTCCCTATCACTTTGGAAACCAGAGGAATGGCAGACATGTTTCTGACCACCTTAGTAACAAGGAGGCTAGATGGTATCCCCTGGGTCCCCTCACTGTCCAGAGCTCACACAACTACTTGTCCCTCCTAGGCCTGCAGGGACTTCTTGGAATTAGCTGAGATTCATAGCCGGAAATGGCAGCGGGCACTGCAGTATGAGCAGGAGCAGCGTGTCCATTTGGAAGAGACCATTGAACAGTTGGCCAAGCAGCACAACAGTCTTGAGCGGGCCTTCCGCAGTGGTCCTGGTTGGCCTGCCAACCCCAGCAAGAGCTTCAGCGAGGGTGAGTGGGCATGCACTGGTTGGCAGGATGGGGCCTGTCACTTGGCTCATTCCCTAGGTGACTACCTGGTCTTGTTGTGCACCCTAACCCCTATCCATATACATACCTGAACATACCTGCATTTGGACTTGACCAATGCCAGCCTGTTTGGTCCATGGCACTGTTTGTCTGGTACCTGTCATCATTTGACAAAGGTATCCCCATGCCTAGGTTTAAATTCTCAAGTTTGGATTGGGCAATACAGCTCAGTGGCAAAGGCCTTGCCTTGCACACATAAGAGCACTGGGCTTGATCCTCAGCACATACACGCACGCACACACACACACAGCCTCAAAAGTTCAATATACTCAGCTGTCCTTTTCATGACAGGGTTCTCCAGGTGCAGGGTGGCCACCTACCCAACCTTGGCTGAGGGGGAGGGGCACAGATACCCCAAGTGGGGGTGGGGAGTCTATCAGAAAAGGAAACTGGACTATAGACTGGCTCATCAGCATGTTGAGATATTAGGGAACATTTCTAGAAGGCATCTTCAGCACAGTGAATGCAGTGAAAGGAAGTGTATTATCCCAGTAAAGGGAGCAAGCAGTCCAGGGTGTAGAATGGGGAGGGATGTGGGGTCAGGGTGGGGCTCAAGCCTTGATGTTGGACTCCAGACAGCTGGAGGAGCCCTTTTTGAGGTTGCAAATTGCAGAATCTCTGTGTGTCTCTAGGAAGCTTTTTGACTCCCAAAGGAGAGGATAGTGAGGAAGATGAAGATACCGAGTACTTTGATGCCATGGAAGACTCTACATCCTTCATCACCGTGATCACTGAGACCAACGAGGACAGGTAGGCACTCTCCTACTGTGGCCCTCACCAGCAGGATCATCAACAGCCTAGAATGAGCATCTCCCAGGGTCAGCCTTTCCCTCCTTGTTTTTAGGCCTCCTCCAGGTTTTTGTTGAGACAGGGTCTCACCTTGTAGCTTAGTCTGGCCTCGAATTTATTAATAGTCTTTCTACCTTAGCCTCCCAAGTGTTGGAATTACAGGTGTGTACCACCATGCCTAGCATTGGCCCCATCAGTTTTGGGTTTTTTTTTTTTTTGTTGGGGGGGAGCCTATTAAAATTTTTTTGGCTAAGGATTGAATCCTTTGCACTGAGGTACAGCCTTTTCCTTTTTTTATTTTTTGAGACAAGGTCTTGCCAAGTGATTAACTTCCCCAGGCTGGACTCATGACTGTCCTGCCTCAGTCTCCTAGAGTGCTGGGATTATAGGTGTCTATCACATCTAGCCCGTCTGCTCTTTTGACCAGCTGTGTATTTAGGGTTTTCTTTCAAGTCCCGTTCCAGATAGCGTTTTTGCTTAATTTTGTCATTATTTATACAAAAAAATGTCTAAATAGTTTGTATCAAAATTTTTATTTAAAATGGAAACAGAACAGGGAATTGGTTGGGTGCAGTTCCAGCCCAGCAGTAAGGAAAGACTCCTGCTAATGTTGCCTCAGAACAACACAAGGTCCTAACTGCTCCCTCCATGGTATCATGAAAGATGCAGGAAATCTATTTTCTCTTTCCAAGCCTTTATTGCATTTTTCTAAAAGCTGGCTCTTTCTAGATTCTTTTTTTCCTTTTAGAAACAGAGTCTCACTATATAATTCAGGCTGAACTTCAGCTCACTTTATAGCCCAGGCTGGTCTCAAATTCACAATGATCCTCCTTGCCTCTCAGCCTCCCAAGTGCTGGGATTACAGGCATGTGCCACCGTGCCCAACTCCCAGTAAAATTATAAACTTGCCTATACTGCTGTCAATGTTAGCAGGGTTTGGTTGCCCTCAACATCCTTCCACTCAATCATCGGAAGTATCACCCTAGGTCCTTCTCAGTTGTTCCGAGGCCCTGCTGTGCCTGCAGCACCCAGGATATGAGCTCTCCCCAGGATCCATGAGACCCTAACTACAAAGAGCATTTCCAGCCCCAGCCCCTCCTCGAAAATACTGGAGAGGGGAAATGTCAAAACCATTTTTTCTCTTCAGGAGCTCCAGTCTAGTGTGAGAGTCAGAGTACCAGTCAGTGAGGGTGCAGTAGCATCTATCTGGGACAGGAAGATCTCCACAGGGCTCAGTGAGGCACTCCCAGAGGAGGTACCCAGCCCCTGGCCTCCTCTTGGACAGAAGCTTTACTGAGCACCTGTTATGGTGGGGACACTGGTGAATGGGCCCTCTTCATATTGCTGCCTGTGTCCTTTGGCCTCCCCCTTGAGTATCCAAAATTGGAAATGGCCTATTGGAAAAACTGCCTTGGGATTTCCCCTCATAGGATGTGGGATGGGTGATGAGGCGGCTCAGGATTTGTTCATAAATTAGCTTACCTTTTATTTCCTGCAGAAAAGACGAAGGTGGAAACAGCACATGTGGAACTGTAGATTGGACCACAGCAGACAATGTGAGTGAGGTAGGAGCATCCAAGGCCAGGTTCCAGGTGGTGGCGGCCAGCACTGCAAGCTCAGGACCACCAATGGATTCCAGATCTCTCTCCAGTAGTAGTTTGAACAGAGCCAGCCTGCCTTCCCCATCAGCCATGTGCCAACAGCTGGTTTAGTGCTAGCCCATGGGAGGCCAGGTGAGGGAGTGGACTTGGAGGTCAGTGGGGGCTCCAGTATCCTCTGAAAGGTGTACCTTACTTCTCTACAGGTGCTAGATGGTGCCTCACTTGTGCCCAGGGGGTCATACAAAGTCAAGAGGCGTGCCCGCATACCTGACAAGCCCAACTACAGCCTTAACCTTTGGAGCATCATGAAGAACTGCATTGGTCGTGAGCTCTCCAGGATCCCCATGCCAGTAGGTAGCCCTAGGCACGGTGGCTGGAGTGGCCCTCTGGGCTATGACACCTACACAACACTATGGTGTCAGTTTCTTAATGGCACCTAAACAGAATGTAATTATGTGACTGTATTCATCAGCCAGTCCTTCCAAGAGCAGAGGTCTTCAGACTCTGAGGAAAGGAGCCAGGAGAGAGCTGTGTGTGCTAAAATGTGGGGAACAGCATCAGCTGGCTACTAGCACCATGATGACAGAAAGGGCAGGCTGGATCTGCTTAAACGGTTTCATAGGAGACGGCTCTGGGACTGAGGGCCTCACAACGTCTCAGCTGTCTCCACTTAGTAAGTGAGGAGTGGTGAATATGGACCTTGTGCTCAGAGGTATACCTCCCAGGAAATGGAGGTTTAGCAAAGTCATATAGCAGTCTAAAAGCAAAACTGGGGTCCTTGTTCACCACACTACAGTGGCCATCTCTACCAAGGAAGAGCCTGAGGGCTCTAGGGTAGTTAGTTTTTCTCTGTGACTCATGAGTCCCTTCCCATTTCTGGCTCTGTGTATAATCTGGAAAATGGAATCACAGCAACCCCTTCAGTGTCTGGAAGGATGGAGTGAACTAATGCCAGAAGACTGCGTCACAATGGGAATGTGATAACCTTGCTTTGCTTAAGACCTGCAGGGGCCCCTGAGCTACACATATCCTCACAGCACCCCCACCCCAACAAATGCCTACAACAGAAAACTTAGATCACAGCACAGAATATGAGGAAGACCTACTGCCTCTGACCATGGATTTGCTTAGTCACTCTGATTCTGATGAGTCAGCATTAACCATACAGCAGTGGGAAGCCAGGCACCTCTGTGGAGTCTTCCACTAGTTAATCCTAGTGGAGTGACTATAAACATCATGAAAGTACATGGTAGAGCACACCAGAAAGTGCATGCTGCAGAGGAAACTGAGGCAGAGGGCCTAGAGAGGTACCAGATGGGGCTGAGGTGCTGCACAGCCAGGCTGACAGGTGGACCTCACTATGTGTCATCAGAGCAGTGATGTCCCCTGAATGTCTCAACAGCAGAGGTGCTGTGATGATCCAAGAACTACGGTGCCTGGCCTGACCCATTTCCCCACTGCCTACAGGTGAACTTCAATGAGCCCCTGTCCATGCTCCAGCGGCTGACTGAGGACCTGGAGTACCACCACCTGCTGGACAAGGCGGTGCACTGCTCCAGTTCTGTGGAACAGATGTGCCTGGTGGCTGCGTTCTCTGTATCCTCCTACTCCACCACTGTGCACCGCATAGCCAAGCCCTTCAATCCCATGTTGGGGGAGACCTTTGAACTAGACCGCCTGGAAGACATGGGCCTGCGCTCCCTCTGCGAGCAGGTTAGACCCACCAGCCTGGCATGGGCAGGGTCCACTCTTCCCAGAGAGAGAGGCATGAGAGAACTTGGTGGGACAGAGATAGGTCTGGTGTCAAAGAAAAGGAAGACCCACCTCCCAGCCAGAGAACCATGGGACAGAGGTGAAGGGATGTCTGCAGCTGTGTGAGTCCAGGCAAACACGAAGTAAGGTCACCACAGGGATAAAAGTTGGCAGACAGGCGGAGCCTGGCCAACTGTGCACACTGGGATGGATGCTGCCCTGACCAGTGCCCTCAGCTCCACCCCAACCCCATGGGGACAAGCCAGAATCCAAGCTGGGAGTCTCACCATCATCTGAGGCTGAGCCTGAGTGTCTTTATCAGAAAAGACAATTCTATTGGTGCTGGTGATGTTCTAGCTTCTGGGATTAGCAAGGAGGCCAACTGATTGTTGATCTAATTGCTACTCTGAAAGGAGTGCTGTGGCTGCCATGAGGACGCATTAGAAGGACAGCGAAATAACTGCACAAGAGTACAGTGACAAGTTCTGAAGGTGGAGCCAGCAGGTTTGCTAATCTTTTAGATTTGAAAGGGCACAAAGGGTAACTCCAGAGCTTTAGCCTGAAACCCTAAGTTAATACATTTCTTGATTCATCAAACATTGAGTGTCCTGAACATCCCAGGTGCTGACAGGGTGTTGAGGGTAAGATGGGGAGTAGACAGATGTGGCTTCTGTTATCATCAAACAGCTATGGTGTGTCAAATACTTCTAGTTCTTTAGAAAGGTGGTACTCAGGGAGGTGTTTGACTGGCCCACAGAGTATGGAGGGGAGGCAGTGGGATAGCCAGATTACCCTGGCTTCCTGTATGGGAGGTGGCTACCATGGGGAGAGTGGTCCCCAGGAAGGATGGATACTCAGTATGCTACAAAGGAAGAGACAAGATTTGTTTAGGGTATGACATAGAACATGACAAGGAGGGGCTGGGAAAACTAAAACATGTGGTGTGAACAGCTGGAGAGATGGGATGGGCCTGAGACAGATGTATATATGATGCAGGGCTCTGGCCCCTCCTCTTGGTGACATGTCCCTGCATTTACCCATGGGGGTGGCTCTAATAGGTGTGAAGAAGCTGACATAGGAGAAACCATGCCAGGCCCTGAACAAGACAGAGCCCAGCAGCTGTGGGATGAGGAAGAAAATGCAAAATTAGTGGTGCTGCCAGTGGATGGGAGAAAGCCAGGCAGCAGGGGTTCTAGGAGGTGGGGCACTAGTCAGGGAACACAGTACTGTACAAGGGAAGTTGGGAGATCTAGGGGATCAAGTATGGAGGACAGAAGAAGGCTGAAACAGGACACTGATAGGACTACACTCAGGAGTCAGGTTGGATTCTGCCCCTACATTAAAATGGTTTTACTGGTCTGGCTGCCTTCCCACAGTGTAGCACTGCATGACAGACATGTGCCTTCCCAGGGGTGTGGTTTGGATTAAGTGAAAAAATGGGTATGGAAGCCCTGGTGGAGCCACACCTTTCATTTCACTAGCCCTTGGCTCAGTCTGTCCCAGGCTTGTCCTGGAGGCCCACCATCTCACACATTTTTTAGCCCAAGAGCCAGGCCTGGCCACACCAAGTCCACTTCCTACTCCTAGAGGCTAGGGAAGGCCCAAGAGAGCCAAAGTTTTCTGGTCAAGACACTGTCTCTCCTGAGGACCTGCCTTGGGTCCAACACTACCCAATCCCATGGCCATAGCATTTTGCGTGCTGGGAACAGAGCAGACTCTCCCTCCCTGGCCAGAAAGGTAGTATGGGTCCATGCCAAGCAATGCTCACATCCAACTGGTCTGACCCCAGGTGAGCCACCACCCCCCTTCAGCTGCCCACTATGCATTTTCTAAGCACGGCTGGAGCCTCTGGCAGGAAATCACCATCGCCAGCAAGTTCCGGGGAAAGTACATCTCCATCATGCCACTCGGTAAGCTGGAGTTCTGGGTGCTCCTGGGACAGACAGGCATTCTGCTTCATGAGGGAGAATTTTGCCAACCCAAAAGATGGCTTGGAGCTTGCAGAACTCCCTACAGGTCTGCCCCTCAACACACATGCAAACACAGCCCAGGCCTCCTGGCCTATACCCTAACCCCCTAACATGCATGGATATTCCTTTTGTTCTTGAGATCTTGGGCTGTGGGTGAACTGGCCCAAGCCCTGCATGAGTAGACAATAACCTCTGACCTGTACCTGGCCTCCAGGTGCCATTCACTTAGAATTCCAGGCCAGTGGAAATCACTATGTATGGAGGAAAAGCACCTCAACTGTGCACAACATCATCGTGGGCAAGCTCTGGATCGACCAGGTCAGGGCTGGATACTCTTGGTGGGGTATGTATGGCCCAGGTACTGGCTACTGATCATTATCTTCTCTCACCAGTCAGGGGACATTGAGATTGTGAACCATAAGACCAATGACCGATGCCAGGTGAAGTTTGTGCCCTATAGCTACTTCTCTAAAGAGGCAGCTCGAAAGGTAAGCAGGACTAACTCCCACAACCCCAGAAGGCACAAAGTAGACTATGTCTTTACTTGGTCCCTGACACTGTTCCACAGGTGACTGGAGTGGTGAGTGATAGCCAGGGAAAGGCCCACTATGTGCTGTCAGGCTCATGGGATGAGCAGATGGAATGCTCCAAGATTGTGCAGAGCAGCCCCAGCAGCCCCAGCTCTGATGGGAAACAGAAGACGGTATACCAGACCCTACCAGCCAAGTTACTGTGGAGGAAATACCCACTGCCGTGAGTAGGGGCTGGGGACCCTCTTTTGGAAATGGGGCCGAGGCACAGACAGAGAAAGGTGGCCAGAGAGTGGTAGCCAGAGGACACCACGACACCCAGAAAAAAGCACAGGAGATCACAAGGGTTTAGCTCACATAGGGGTAGAGAATGATGTGACTAACATCCCAGAGTGGAAGCCAGATGTCAGCTGCAAATGAATATGAATCTATCATGTGGCAGCAAATACTATGCAGAGACTTTAAACAGGCAAATAGGACTGAATCCTTCCCTGCATGACTATAAGAAAAATTTTTTAAACTTTGATGACTTGTTGGAAACAAAACTATAAAGTAGCACTGCAGATTCCAAAGAGAACATAAGAGAAATTCTGCAAAAGAAAAAGTAACAAACTGAAAACTCCTTGGAAAGGTTTAAAGAGAATGTGTTACCTGAATACAGGTCAGAGGCAATGGTTACACTATAGCGTAAGAGAGACAAAACCTGGAAAATACAAGAGCTACAGCGAGAGGCCAAATGAGGTTCCCATGTTTGCCATATCCCCTGGGATCTTGTTATTGTGCAGATTGTCCTGAGTGGGAGTCTGCAATGCTATAAGGTCCCCAGGGCACCCAAACAGTGTCTAGTGTACTTCTATTCAGAGCCTTAGGAGGAAACAAGAGATTGCTTCTGAAGAAAAAACAGAAGAGACCTTGCTACACCTGAATCTATGTAGAGAGACTGTTAAAACTGAAAGAGAGAATAGACAGATCATTAAAAAACATTACTTGTTGAGAACTAGCACCCTGACAGCTGTCCTCCCATCAGCAATAATGGGAGCTTGCAGACAAGTGAACAATTTCTTCCATGTCCTGAAAGCTTTATTGCCAGCCTAAAATTATATACTTAGAGTAACTGCCTTTTTTTTTTTTTTTACAGAACCAGGGATTGAACTCAGGCCCTTGTGCTTGCCAGGCAAGAGCTTATTCTTCTAAGCTATCTCCCTGGCTCCCCAGAGTAACTATCTTTAAAAAAATGAACTTGAAATAAAGACCTTTTCAAGCAAATAAAAACTCAGTTGGCCTCCAATACACCGGTAACTAGAGCTGGGGAGATGGCTCAGCGCTTCCCTGGAAGCTCAAGGGCCTGAGTTCAATCCCCAGTTCTGCAAAAAAAAAAAAAGGAAACAATACACCCGTAACTAAAGGGCTTAGCTCAAGCATGAAGAAACTGATCCTAGGTGGAAGATTTGAGATGTATTAATGAAGTATAAAAACTATGTAATCTAAATGAATATTGAGTAAGCAATAATAATAATAATAATAATAATAATAATAATAATAATAATGTCTCCTAGGGTTTAACATTTGAGACTACAACCACCACATTATATAAGTCAGAAGAGGATTAAGTGAAGAAAAGCTGTGCTACCCAGGAGAAGGGTCAAGACATGCATTAAGTGGCTGGGGATGTAAGTCAGTGGTAGAGCACATGTTTAGCATGCATGAGGCCCTAGGTTCAAGCCTCTGCATGGCTACAGGTATTAACTTCTGACCTAGGAGGTATGGATATTGCAATTTCTAGAGTAACCACTAGAATAACACATTTAACAAGAATCCCAGAAGAAAAGGAACATAGGTAAAAATGGCACAGAGGGAAAATAAAGAGAAATAATGTAAAAAATTTTCCCAAAATAAAAAAAGATGAAAGGGCCTTAGCTCAAAAGGATCTATATAGCATAAAGAAAGATACAAGGAAAAACATTCACCTACACCATGCTGTAGTCAAAATTAAGTCTACCAAAGAATAAATTCTGATAAGATTCCAGAGAGGACTGAAAGATTTTAATCAAGGGTGAAGAATCAGACTGACATCTGATGTTTCAACAACCAGGGCTTGAGTAATATTTAAAAATTAAATTAAAAGGTAGAATTTATTCTCCGGACAAGTTATCATTCCAATATGAGGCCATGGGGAAAAGAGATTGGAACTGATCAATAAATTATATTTATTATCAAACACACATGTACAAATTCCCCCAAATGAATGTAACTGTTACATATCTCAAAATACTAAAAAATAAATACAAGACCATGATAAAAAAAATTCCGTAGGTATACAGCCTCAGGTTTGCTACACAAAAAAAAATCACAATGAAAACAGTATTAGACAAAATAATCTTAAAAGGCAGAGAAAAATCTAGAAGATGTTGTGATACAGATGAAGTAAAATTTACTTGTTGAACAATAAAGAAAATATGCTCAAAGTAAGTTCTGCATAAGTTACAGAAGGTCCTAGGTTCGATTCCAGATACCAAAAGAAAAGTTTAAATAATGTTAACAAGGTAGGATTTTGGGATAAGAAGGATACCAGGGATGTGGAGAAATGAGGGAGACAATAAGAGAAGAGTAAATGAAAAAGTAGAACAGAAATAACATACAAAACAGATTTGAACACATTAGTGTTAGGCAAAAGCAAAATACTGAGTAGATTTGTTACAATGAAGATGCACACTCCTTGTAAGATACAGAGAACATAAAGATGTGCAAAGGTTAAAAATAAAAGAGCTTCTGTGAAAACTGAACCAAAAAAGCTGTAGCAGTTATATTAATACTAAGTAAAATAGAGCTGAGGAGGAAAGCATATTAAGGAAAGAAAAGTTGCCACATAATGAAAGATTAATGTAATAAAACAACCTCAAAGCACAACACTAAGCACATTTTGATACCCAAGGAAGAAATATAGTACGTCTATCATCATCATAGGAAAGTGGAAGATTTCAATATATGCCCTCTCACTTGTTGATAGTGGGGGGAAAAAGGATATGAAGAAGACTGAAACAACAGAACTATACGTAAAAATAATGCAGCAGCCTGAGAATACATGTTTTCTCAGTTACACATGGAATGTATGTGTAAAAATCATTCATGTTAGAGCATAAACGCTCCAACAAATTTACAGAGGATAGCTTACAGAGTATGATCTGTAAGACCTTTAAATTAGAGCCAAATTACAAAACTACTCCACATATGTAGGGAAAAAATTAAGTTCCTAAATAACTCATAAGTAAATGAGAACTCAGAATGGAAATTTTTAAATATCTAGAACTGAATGACATCAAAGATACCAAAACTCGATGGATGGGATAGGCAATGCCTGAAGTTAAATGTACTATATTGTTTTAAACACTTTGTAATTTTGAGGCTTTTTCTTTTCTTAGTTTCCATTCTGAAAGTTAGAGAAAATTGAACACATACACCCAAAGAAAGAAGACAATGTATCTTAAAGAAGACAGAAACTAATAGAATAGAGAAAGGAAATATAACAAAGCTTGGTAAAGCCAATAATTGACTCTTTGAGGAACAAAACAACTGACAATAGAGAAAACAACTATTAAGACTGGTCAAGAGAGAAATATTCCTATAATCCCAGTGCAATGGCAAGCAGAAACACAAACATCCAGGGTTTTAACTTTTTTTTTTTTTTTTTTTTTTTTTGTGGTACCAGGGACAGAACTCAAGAGCCTGCGCTTGCCAGGCAAGCACTTATTCTACTGAGCTATATCCCCAGCCTGTCACCCAGGGTTTTGAGGCTGATTTATTTTATGTCGATGGGCACATTTTTAAAAAAGGCTGGGAATTAGTTCAGTAGTAGCATACCTCTGGGTTACATCCTTAGTATTCCAATCAGTCCGTCAATTAAGTGGATATGAGCTGGGAATTTGATGCCCGGGCCTACCATGCCGTCCCTGCCCAGGGGTGCTCTGAGATGGCAATTGAGACTGGGGGTGGTGGCACACGCCTGTAATCCCAGCTCTTGGGAGGCTGTAAATAGGCAGATCACTAGGAGTCCAATCTAGTAGTGAGACCCTGAACACCCTGTAGACCCTTCCCTAAAATACAAAAAATAAATACATAAATAGAGATAATTAACACTCAAGTGGGAAGAACAAATTCCTAGAAAAATACTACTTATTAAGAACTGATTCTAAGGGGCCAGGGAGATAGCTCAGTAGAATAAGCACTTGCCTGGCAAGTGCAAGGCTCTGAATTCAATCCCTGGTACTGCAAAGAAAAAAAAAAAAAAAGACTGATTCTAGAAAATTATCCAAGTATGCCTATACTTAATAAAAAAACAAAAAAACCCCTAAAACAATGGCTTTAAATTACCATAAAAAAATACAAGGTCCAGATCATTTTATAGGTGAATTCATAAACTTCTCAAGAAATCTTAATCAATTTTATAAAAGTCTTGCCATGAAAAAAAGGAAATATTTTTTTTCTACACTGTAAGGCTAGAATAACCTTCATATACCAGCTAAAAGAATAGTAGGAAAATAAAAATTTTAAGCCATTTCTTTTATAAGCAAAATTATAAAACAAGACATCAGAAAATCCAATCCAACAGTGCATCAAAAAGATAATCTATAATCAGATTTATCTATAGTTTGCAAGAATGATTTTATATTGGAACATTCATAAATTATATTAATAGTCATCAAAAGATTCAGAGAAAGCATTTTAGGTGCCTATATATAAAATTAATATGCAGAAATCAAACACATTCTATATGCTAACAGGAAACAAGTAGAAAATGCAATCGATAAAACACCAGTTACATCAGAAATATCAAGGACTTTGTAATAATCCTTATTTTCAAGACCTCTATAGTGAAAATTATTAAAATTTACTAAGTTGTCAAAGGAGTGCTAAATGAAGATAAATTATTCATGGACTGAAAGTACTGTAAAGATGTCATGGTTTAAAGATTCAGCAAACTGGGATTTTAATGAAACTTAATATTAGAATTTTTAAATTTATATTGCTGAATAAAAGACATTTCTGGATAACCGAAGAAAAAAACTAGGAATTATTCTACTAGATATGGGGACTTATTTTCAAACTAAGATGGAATGGAACAGTGAACCTAGAAACAGTCCCTTGGCAGTTTGTATCCTTGATACATGACTAAATTGGCAAATCAGGTTTTGTGAAGATAAAAAAGAAAAAGATTAACTGAGCCTCTCCCTTATAACAAAAATCAATTCAACGGCTGGCAAGATAGCTCAGTGGTCTAAAGCACCTACTTAGGCAACCTTAGGCAAGTGCAGGGACTGATTTGATCCCAGGTGCCACAACAGCTCCTGTCCCGAGGGTGGGCTGAACCAGCCACAAAAAAAAAAAAAAAAAAAAAAAAAAAAAACCCAAGATAGAGATTCATACAATAACTATTGTCTTGTTAAACAATAAAATTAATACTTTAAGTAAAAACATACAAATGAGTATCTATTAGACCTTAAGAAATTAATTTTAAACAAGACACAGGGAAGCAATGATGCATTTAAGTATATCAAAACATACAAAAAGTATAGGAACTTTTGTTTATTAAGAGAAGTATTGTAAATGGGTACAATGGTGCATGCCTATAATCCCAGGAGAACTGCCAAGTTCAAGGCCAGGTTAGGTAACTTAGACCTTTTCTTAAAAATATAAAATGACTAATGATGGAAGCTCACTGGTTGAGTACTTCCTCAGCTTGTGCAAGGCCCTAAATTCCATCCTACGAACTACAAAAGTGAAATTTTGCTTTTTAAAAGGCAATTTATAATTATTGAAACTGTCCTACCAATTTGATTTGAAACTGTCTCATTGCTATTTGTTTATCAATAAAATTATGGGGAAAAAAAAAAAAGGCAATTTAGCCAGGCATGGTGAATTACACCTGTAATCTCAGCATTCTTGAAGGAGAAGGATCACCACAACTTCAAGTCCCGCCTGGGCTACATAGTAAGAATTTTTCTCTCAAGAAAGGTGCAATTTAAAGAAAAGATAAAACAACGTATACCGTGCAGAATAATCTCATAGTATATACACTGAACAGCAGGATTAATATCAAGAAAGAGGACTTAGGATATAGCTTAGTAGTGGAACATAGGCTGAATATGAATGAGACTTAGGGGTTTAATCTCCAGAACCCCTCAAATGGCAATAAAAAATAATATGAAATCCAGGTATAGAGGTGTATATCATAATCCCAGCTGAGACAAGAGGATCTTGAGTCAGAGGCCAGCAGTTCAACACCAGAGATACATAGTGAAACTCTGTCTTTAAAGAAAGCCCAAATAATAATGATGATGAATACATTAAAAAAAAAAAACAACTTCTCAACAAGTATAGCGAAAAAAAAAATCCAATAGAAAAATGTGCAAGAGCCATGAACAAGAATTTCACAGAAATACTACTACATATAGCCAATCATCACATGAAAACCACAGCCAACATCATTGATAATCAGGTAAATGCTAATCAAAACCACCACAATGAGATGCCACCTTACATTCATTTAACTGGCAAAAATTTAAAAGTCTGACAATATCAAAGGTTGAAGGTTTGGATCCTCAATATCTCTTCAAATACTGTTAGTGGGAACATAAATTGGTGCAGCCCTTTTGGATTTGTTGTATTTTGGGATACTGGGGATTGAACTTAAGGCCTCATGCATGCTAGGCAAATGCATTGCTATTGAGCTACACACCAGCACTGGTCTCAGTTCCTAAAGATGAACTATCACATACACTATAACCTAGCAGTTCCACTTCTAGTATAGAAGAAATGTGCCATTGGTCCAAAAAGGACAGAACAAAAAGAAAAAACAAAATATGAGATCTAAATCCAACATGTCAGTACAAGTTGAGAATTTCTAATCTGAAAATCTGAAATGCTCCAAAATCCAAAACAGCTTGAGCATCAATATGACTCTGTAAGTAGAAATTTCCATACTTGACCTCTTCTGACAAATCAGTAATGCGGGTACAATAAAAATATTGTATTTAAACTGAAACATAAATGAAGTTTATATTTAGATTTGGGTCCCATCCCCCAGGTATCTCACTAAACAAGTGTTATGAAATTTTAAACACAAGTACATCTTGTCCCGTATATCTTGGATAATGGATACTCAACCTTAATAATGGATACTTGACCTCCCATTATAAGATTCAGACAAATTTCTTTCTTGTAATAGTGCCAAAGTTTTATTAAAGCTAGGAAAAGAAACAGGCTCTGCATAGCAAGTTTGGGTCAAATAAAAGAAAAGAAACATGAGAAACATCAGCAGGTTTTTGAAACTAGTAGTTAATTGGTAGGATTCTTACCCTGACTGACTATATATGCTGAGACCTGTGAAATAAACAACTGCACTGAAGATAGCAATGTGTGATGATAGGGTCATGCTTGGAATGCCTGTCATTCTGGTCTTCTACATATGTACTGCTTGTCATGACATACCAATTATTGCCATACTGTCTCTCAAGTAAATGTTTAAAAAAAAAGTAATAAATGAAAAAAATAAGACAAAAAAATGTCACAGGACTGTCCTGCTACAATGCTGTATATGGTTAGATTTCTAAATTTCTGTGTAAAAATATGTAATTGTTTATTCATATTTTTAAAAATATTTATTAAAAAAATTTTTTTCTTTATATTCTGTATGGACTTCAAGTTTAACATATCAATATTTGATGGAAAATACCTGTTCCATGTTATGCCTAACATGTTTGATATTCAGACAGATAGTCAGGTTAAACCCAACTGCTTATGTTGTAGGGCAATAATAAGCTTCTCTTCTGAAGGGTTAACAACCTAAGTTTGCAGACCAAAAATGAGAGAAAAAGAAGGGCTAAAAACAAGGACAGCCAACATTTTGGCCCTAGCCTTTCAAGGTCAGTGAAAACTCAGGACATAGGAGAACCTATACTGTAACATCATGTAACTCAGTTGTGGCCCAAATTTTCTGTTCAAGGAGATTATGGGGCCACAGAGGAAAGTGATCGATGATGTTGAGTGTGCCTAAAGGGAGTCACATGGAGAGAAAACATTCTCTCAGGCTTTCACAGAGAGCAAACTGGTCAAGCAATGGCCATAACTCATCCACATGGTTGACACTGACAAACGATCTACAAAGTGTGGTATAGGATTTCAGGATAAATCCTGAGGGGACTTGAGTGACCTTATCAGATACAAAAGTTACATTTCTTGTTATATAGGTCTTGCTTTATCTTGGTCTTAACCATCCAGCAAAAAGGTAAAAAAATCGAGGTATTAAGGGGTGAAGCCATGCTGGTATGCTGGGCTGTAAAGGGCTCAGTCAATAACTTCTGACATTGCCAGTCCTGCAGATCACCCACTACTATTATGGACTACTGGACTATATTGGAATATTTTGCTGAATTCACGTACCTACAATATTTAAACGACAATGGAATATGCTTCTCTGACAAAACTAAAAGAAAAAAGGGGATACAAAGGAATGACCATTTTGTATCTCTATATACAAAATAGTTAAGATAGACATACAGCTAGTTTCTCTTAATTCAATGAGAAGAAAGATTTGTACTAGTAGTGCTTGGACAGGATATCATGTCAGCATCCTGAACTATGAATAATCACTAAGAAGATAACAATATGCAATGTATTAATTATTGAAACTCTCCTAATCAGTTTTGAAACTCTCACTGCTATGTTTCTCAATAAAATTATTTTTTTAAAGAAGAGAAAAACAAGAAAAAACACACCCTACTTCATGAGGGTAAGCCATTTGTGCAAAAGAAAGTAGGTTAGACAAAATTTTAAATATCCACTATATGTACTCTATAAGAGATACATTTAAGTAATAAATATTGGAATGACAAAGATACGTCCATAGAAAGGCTGCCCAAACGAAAAGCTGCCGTAGTTATATGCATATCACAAAATGAATTCTAAACTATAAATAATACTAGAAGAGGGCAAATTCATAATGAAGTTTCAGTTGACTAAAATGAGTTTTGAATTTGAATATATCTTGTACCGAATAACAAGCCTTTAAAATATGTGCACCATAGGTCATAGAAATATAGAGAAACTAATTTACAACCAAAAATAAGAAATTTTAATGTACATTTTTTTAGTTATGGGTAGGAAAAAAACCCTGGAGAATAAATTTGAACAAAAGGCAAAAGGATCTAGCCAGTTATATAACTACTGTACCCCAACAACTGAACAAACACATTCCCTTTACATGTGAGCCAGCTGCAAAAACTGACCATATACTGGGCCATATGGCAAACTGCAAAGTAAACAAATGATATCAAGTATTTAACCATGTATATTATCTGACTCTAAAACAACTATGCTAGAAAAAAAGTGACTTAGAAATGTCTACCTTTATAAACTTAATACGTTTCCAAATATGTGGTATGTCAAATGAGTCATAAGTCATAAATGTTTGCTCAGATATGATACAAGAATCAGAAAATATACCAAAAGTGGTAGGATTCAGGTAAAAGCAGTATGTGGAGTGAAATATACTGCCTTAAAATGCACAACATATTAGAAAAAAAAAAAAAAGAATAGGCGCTAAGTCTCCACCTCCAGAAGTTAGGAGAAAAATGCAAATGAACCCCCCAAAATTAGGAGTATAACAGCAAAATCTGGAAGGCAGAAAACCCTAAAAATTGATCAATGTTTTATTTTTCAACCAATGAATAAAGTCAAACCTCTGGCAGGATGTTCAAAACTGAAGACACATAAAAAAGGACACAGCCAAGCCACAGACATTATCAGATCAAAAACAATGAGGCTATGAGAAAACCAAGTTATGCTGGCAGATTAGAATAATTGGATGAAAGGGACAAATTCCCAAAGAAGTCTTTAGTAGGAAACCACTTAAAAGAGTTTGGTGGAGCCTCATAAGGGATGGTGCAAGCCAGAGGGTTCAGACAGAGCTGGTGGGTTTTGCAGAGTTGGTTAATCATGGATGGACACTGGACCAGGAAAAGGTTGGCTGAGGTCAGAGGGCACCCCAGATGTGGGGAGTAAGAAGGCTAGGGAGGATTAGAGTCATGGACTGGTAGGGATAGCACCTTCTCACTCACACCGCTGCAGGGAGAACGCAGAAAACATGTACTACTTCTCTGAGCTTGCACTGACCCTCAATGAGCCTGAAAGTGGAGTGGCACCCACTGACAGCCGCCTGCGTCCGGATCAGCGGCTGATGGAAGAAGGACGCTGGGACCAGGCCAACACTGAAAAGCAGCGGTTGGAGGAAAAGCAGCGCCTGTCACGGCGCCGACGACTGGAGATTTGTGCACCAGGCCGCAGCTGTGGCACAGAGGAAGGTGAGGCTGGGTGAGGAGGGGGCCCAGGGGCAGGAGGGAAGTATACTGGGGATCAAGGGGGCACCCAGGAGAGGGGCTTACCCACCTTGGCCCATGCCCAGCAGAGAAGGAGTCAGATGGGTATGTTCCGCTGTGGTTCGAGAAGAGACTGGACCCACTCACCAGAGAAACGGCCTACGTGTACAAGGGTGGCTACTGGGAATCCAAGGAGAAGCAGGACTGGCACATGTGCCCCAACATCTTCTGAGTGCCACCCCTGCAGCAAAATACAGAGACCTATATAGCTGGCCCCACCTTTTCTTTAATGCACTCAATTCAATATTGAATGTTCCCCTCCCCCCATTTTCTTTCCTCTTCCCCCACCGCCCTACAGAAAAAAATGTGGGGAGTTTCTACCTTAGAAGGGGGAAGGGCTGACCCGGGTTCTCTCCATCTCCTAGGTGCACCGGGTCACCTGTGCCCCTTTACCATGGTCTTGGGCCCCATGGGCACCCCAGCTTCCACTTAACATAACTCAGGCTGGCTGGCCCAGGCCATGGGCTGCCCAGGTCACCAGCCCCAAATGAGGGAGGAACTAGCCCTTCCCTGGGAACTTCTTTTGACTTTTTTAGAAAAAGAAAAATGACCTCTTGTTTCTTTCCAGCCATGATGTTTAGTAAGTATTTTTAGTACAGCAATTATCAGACAGCTTTCCAAGTGTGCTTTCTTGCCACAAATTGTCCTGGCAAGAACCCTTTTTATGACTTCAGAAAGCCAGACACTTTTGAATTGGGAGCATTTTGTAGCTCAACATGGCAAGGCCCGCTGCATGAGCTACCCATGCACCTGGAGCCTAGGGACCACAGACAGAGAAGGGGTCTGCCCTGGGCTAGCTGAGCACAATTGTTCTTTGGAGTGACAACCCATGACTCGGGTGGGGGACTGCTGAGTGCCCCCATTTGGACTGAAAGCAGCAGCCCCGTGCCTAACCTTGACGATGCTGGGGCAGCACCCTAGCCTAAAACAGGCCAGGAAGGGGTGAAATGGAGGGCCCACAGGTGCTCCCCACCCTGAGAACCAGACCCCAAATCAGCAATAACAAACCCTCTGTACAGCCTGGGCTGGTGACCTGGACACCACAGACCTGGTATCCCACCTCATCCTCAGGTGGCTCCAGGGGTGCCCATATCAGCACTCCCTGAACTCTCTGCCTAAGATATATAT